CTTAATGCGGTTCGCTTACTGGCACGACTTGGGTCGGAACAATTCAAGGGATACGACGGTGGTTGGATTCGAGTGGAGTTAAGACCAGGTGATCTATTGTAAGTTACCTTATGTCTTGCAATTATTCTATCTGACATCTGTTTAGTATCATGCCCCCATCATGTCCACACGCCGTCTTCACGCCAGATGATTCTTTAGTTGTCGGTGGCCACTTCTATACCTCGGCTCACTTACCCTCGACACTGGAAGGGCTCAGATTTCTTGAGGGGCGGCAAAATATCTCTAATGAATCATTGAAGGATGATCACTATGAGACGCTCGCGCAGATCCTTAATTCATACGACAAAGTTGCGACACCGGAGGAGGTCAAGCGTGCCTGGGCAACTTGCCATCTGTTCCTTGATTCGCCAACAAAAGCCAAGCTACCGACAGCCCGCAACGAATTTATAACTGCTCTAAAGAGTTTTAACCAGAGGGCACGTGAAAGCTTCTCACAAGAACCAGAGTAGTCGGATAATAATAATATATTTGCGAACAATACTTGGCTCATAAGTTACAGTCTACAGTGACTACCATAGGGCTGCGTAGGTCTGAAAACAATCATGTGGCCTGGTAGGACACCAGGGACCTCGCCTGTCTGCACCAGAACCAGTATGCGAAGCACCGGATAGCCTGCTTGTAAGCCCACTCTCATTCAAACCAAAGGACGAAGCGATCATTGAAAACAATCTGATGGAGTGCATAACAAGACCGCTTATAGCATGTAACTAGTTCATATATGATAAAAGATAACTAAAAACCATTGTTTTTAGAGAGTGTTAACCCATGGTCTCGCCGAGAGTCGTACACCAGAGAACCTTTATCGTGGCTTCCCTTTTCCCTGGATACAGTGGAACCCTTTATTCTTTTCAAATACCGACTAGTGACCTGTCGTTTAGGTCTAGGTAATCTGTAATATATTAGTAAAATTCAGCCTGAAAGATAATTTGCGTAAAGAAGATAAGCCGAACTACGAATAATAACCTGTCCGTGATTCCAGTTCCCAGGGTAATAGTATTACTTGGTTAAACACAAAAGAAACTAATTCCCTCAGTCTATTTTAAAGAGGAGTATAACTGGTTTCTCTTGCCTCCGTTTCTTCGGTGCTAAATAAGATATTGTAACAATAAGTGGATACAGTCAATGTCCAACAATATAGTCCAACGCAATCTCACATTCGGTACAATAATTTCCGAAACAAATACTTATTTTGTGCTCATCGGATGTATGAACTTTTTACCAACCTAATATGATTCAATATCTATTGGTGTTACATTTGTGAATCAGGCAAAATATGTTTATTATAGTACGCTGTTGTCTCTCAAAGTTCGGGGCCGGGATGAGTAAGAAGTAGGACAGTGAGCTCCTGCGTCCTCCATTGGGCTTTGATATCAGAACTGATCCGTTTTCGACTCAGGCCTAACAAAGCACTATATATCAGATGGTGATGTCTGTATATCGCACTTGTATGTTGGGATAATCACACATATATATAATATATCTTCCTAACGACACATAGATATTTCTGGACAAAAATGCCACTGTTAGGTTTGATTGGGCATGCATTACAAGAAAGGCGGAAAAGGTCATGGATTGATAGAGAAGGCTCCGATGCAAAGATACTCGTCGGAGATCGGAGCATACTTGTTCACAGCACAGTCCTCGCCGCAGAGAGCCCTTATCTAGCGGAAAAATTTCGGGATAGCCTTCGGAGGGGTGAAAGCCGTGATTTACATGTGGAAGATACAAACCTGCAGACAGTGTGTTGGATTCTGCATCTCATTTACTTTGGAGAGTCAAGTATGAAGACACATTAAAAGGTTTATTTCTTATGCTAACGGATTACCAGCAGGTTACCATCTACCGCGCCAAAAACAAGCTTCGGCCGTTACACTAGCAAAAAAATGGCGCCTTTCCCGAAGGTTGCAATATTTACTTCAAAAGATTATCTATGGAGAGATGTAAAACCCTACCAGGGAGGTTACAATGCCAACGAGAGAAACAAAGGCAACATGATGGTCATGCTTCATTCCCATCCAACATATTATTCTACGGACATTCTCAAAATCCGATGTGATCCACATACACGTGATTATTACCTTGCAGTAGACAGATAGTTCCTTTATATTACCAAACCAACGATTCTATCTCAGCCATAGCCCAGTCTAATAGGGGAACTGGTTACTATGCATCACTTTTTCAATGTGGATTTAAGGAATCCACACAATCAAGTCACCAAGACGACCTACTTTGCTTCATTTTTAGCTGGATTTGGTTTAACCCACGCGCCAAGGAACGTTCAACCAAAGTGGAATGGCGCGAGGTAGGAATGTTCAATTCATTTCTAAGTCGCTCCTTTAATTACGCTAAAGCTGACATCCTTGTCCTTCATTTCAAAATTTACACTGCGAGATTATTATTCGAAATCCCGCGGAATCAGTAATTGAATTACAAGGCCTAAGCGCTTCGACAAGAGGTATGGGGCACATAGCGACGGCCACCAGGGATTCCTACCCTTCCAACGAGATATTTAAAAGGTCGCCACCTACCTTCATATTCACTACGGTACGCACCATCACCATTTCTGTTCCAATAAATCATTTATTTCGACCTTCCAATCGCACGTCTACCAAAAGAAAATTGGTTTCCAGCCAAAACCCGTTATCTTGAGACATGGAGTATGAATATCGGAAGCCAACAAGTATTTATTGCCGCCTGGATGAAGTGGATCAACTGAAAAAAGACCTGATACCGTTGAATGGATGGCGATTCGAAACAAATCCCCCTGAGAAAGACATGCAGCAAATTGTGCTGTACAATGAAAATCCGTTCACTGGAAATGAAGTCGAAGATGCGGAACCTTTTAGGCAATTGGCAGACTTGCTTCTCAAAAAATACAACATAGAACTAAAGGATAGAGGCAAAATGACGTATTCACCCAAGGAAATTTGGTAAGTCCTGTTACCTTCCTAGGAACAGCGAGTAGCAACGGCTAAGACGTCCAACGGCAGCTGTGCCGACGAGAGTAGACAGGCGGCTCAGCTGTACTATGAATCTCTCGGTAATTATGCTCGCCAGAAGCCTGAACCTAGTGCATTACATGCCGTCAATACTTCGCATTATGGAAGAGCTCAAACATTCAATCCGATTCGTATTTCCGATCAATTTGAAAACTGCCGAGCGGCGATAAATCAAGGTAATGTCAAGGAAGCAGCGTCGATATTACTTACGATAGATGGCCACAGCCTCTTGGAGGCGCACCAAAAAAGGTTCCCTGGATTGGTAGGCACTCAGGAGCAGAGCCAGTGGATGCCTACTGAAAATGATGCCATTGATGTCTGGGCAAAAGTCAACGAATGTTGGCTGGGTCTGGGCGGGTATACCTTAGAAGAACTTCAAAGAGGTACTTGCTTAGATTTTGACTCTAAGGAGAGTCTTTACGATTGGCTGCATGAACTAGTAGCACATATTGTCGGGGTATCCGAGTACCTAAGCTACTCTGGCTATGTTGATTGCGAAGAAGGAATACGCCAGGACGATATCATAACCTGTATGTGAAGAGATGTTGCAATTGCAATGACTAGCTAATTAGTGACATAGGTTATGAAAATTGCCTTGATTTGTTGGTGCAGATGGGTACTACCTCTTCAACTTGAAGGTGGACATATGAAGAAGCCGAAGCTCAGATGGCCTAGCAGGCAATTTCACCAAAGGGAGCCCGATACTGTCCATGTAACAAGATAAATTGCATATATAAATCGATATAAGCCACTTTGACCGGGAAAGCTGAATTCGCCAATTTTAGCCTTCCCTGCCGTGACTATGGATTCGAAGGCTAGGCTATTCACTAGGCATACCACGTCTTCTTACAATCAAGCTCTTTCCAGTAACCGAAAAGATTTATTGGGGGCCTCTATTAAGGTGCAGTCTCTTGAAGCTTTTTGCTGCTTCAATTAAATCTTAAAGCCCTCGTTGTATGATTCTAAGCCTTGATCCGACGGAACGGTTGATGGGAAGGCCAGTAGCTACCATCGGACTGCCGTTTACAATTTGTCTCTTAGCTATGCGAGGGTGCTCTATCATGTCCCACATCTGACCCTTCACAAACAGTATGTGAGAAAGGAGAGGCACGGGTAACCAGTCGCTTGGGTTCCCAGTTTAGATGGAACAAAGCCCGCGTATTTGTACGGGGGCTCAAGGAAGCTCGAAGAGTATACCATGGTCCGCGGAAGAGGCGAGCCTCCTGGTGAAGCCGAGAAATATGAACGGTGGACCTCGGTCAGAGGGGACGAGGGTATTTTCGAAGCAGTATCCAGGGAGTTAAGGGTCGGGAACACAGTTATCCAAACTGTCTGGATGGTATTACAACTTACTTACCTCAACTTTTACGCTCATCCAAGTCTAACCACTGAAGACTCAAGTATAAAAAATGGTCTTTTGTCTTTCTCCGAGGCTACAGAACATGGCTCTTCGAATTTAAAAGAAACCGGGGCTAGAGTCTCTGCAATGAGTCTGTTGTTGGCAAGAAGGCATGGTCAAATTTGAGCTTTCGATTGCTCTTCGATCAGGGAGGTTGTGTTTATACTGGGCAAGTTATGTAATAGCCAATGAATTTCTTATTTCCTTATCAATTGAGAATTATATTTATGCCCAACCTGGGCAGAAGTTCCATAGCCTGGTATCTGTGGTACGTTGTAGTAAAGTGCGAAATCAGCTTCACTTTTCCATACTCTTCTCCTATTTTTAGTTCCCACTGCCAAAACGCTAGCCTGAGGAATAGGTAAATTTAAAAGGACTTCTGTGCATTATACCGTGAGCACTCTCAAAGGACTAGAGAGCAAGGGCTGTAGCAATCCAGGACCTGATGAGAGGTCTGTTTAGTCGGTCAGAGAATCCGTCGGGAGGAACAGACGGTGTGGCAGTCCGCGGAATTTTTTTTTTTTTTTTTTTTTTCAATTGATGTATCATCGGTAGCCCAAATTTATAATGCAGCTGAATGGAGGATTGTATAACGCCGATATTCTACCAAACCATAGCCATTGGAAAGCACAATTTATTCAAAAACATTATACATTCATCTGACTTGTCCTGAGACGTCTTAATGATACTACGTAGACTGAAGTTATTATTCCTCAGATACAGATCGGCCTTAGGCATAAAAAAACAGTATTTGCAATATATTATAACCTCAAGGCATGTGTACTGTTACCAGTTAATACTCGCCATTCACACCTCAACCTGAGAGCCTTGAATATGAGGCATCAATCACGAATCTCGAAGTGGTTACCGTGCCTTATTCCTCTTTGGTTTTGAAATCTTCCCTGAATATGACTTGAAGCCTGGCGTATAACCTCGGTGACTATTAAATGGGTTTTCCTTCTGGCTTTTTAGCTGATCTGAAAAGAATGAACAATGAATAGTTTACATAGTAAGCAATAAGATCAATAAGGCTTCAAGCATGATCCCGATTTAGGCCCTTGACATATTCATATCCAGACCTCCGCCCCTTTTCTCCAGTGCACTTGACCAGCGAGACTCTGTCGTGTTAGGGTAGGGCATATACAACCATCGCAACGTTGCGGCTGGCAATCCTCCCTCCGGCAACCCTCCAAGTTGTAGTAAGAATCGGCTCTATAGTATAAGGTTTCAAATATCACAGAGCTCACGTCGCAGAAATCGTTATCACATTAATGTGCGGTAATATATTCTCAAAGCCACCAAATGCCAATTTCTTCAATGTGATGTATGCTCGACCGATCTTTAGAACACTATCCACTATCCGATTATGCCTCGTGCCAAGATCTACCACAATTGGTCTTATTTGTGCGCGACCCGTCCCAGAGTGATATCAGACTTTGCACTGCCTCGTGTCAGATAATCTACTTAATACGCTCTAACCGGCCCTGAATTATGTATGTCCTCAAGAGGGTGGACGTTGTCAAAATCCTTATACAAAGTTCGCTATTCTCGCGAAACAGAGCGTGCGCTGTCTGTACTTGATTGTTAGATCGGCATAGTCTTCCTACTTTGTATCAAAGAAATATTGCTGTATTAAACAATATGACTATTCTTAATTGGAATACTATTTCTTCAACAGTCTTCATGCCCGGGTCTCGGGCTAAGATGGGACAAAGTACTTCGGGCGCCGAGTGGGCCGCATAGAACGGCGAACCCCTTCCATGGGCGACGGACCATACGATCCTGACGACAATTCAGGTTCAGGGGGGGCCTGCTCTGATAACTCATCCCTCCGGGGCAGATCAGGAGCGGCCGGCAATGTAGCAGACTGCGAGGCCTCGCTGGCTGCATCTAGGAATGACCTCGGGCGTGCGGCGTGAAATCCATCGAAAAGGCGGTCTTGCCGACTAGAAAGCATGTTAGCCACAATTTTGCGAAGCCACGACATTATACCTAAGTCTCATACCAATTAGGACAGCTAAAGTTGGACCGAGGGGGGCGGTGCATGAGCCAGCCCTCCATGCACCGCCAGTGGAACTCTCCCGCGCACTCCTCACAGTTAAGGTATACCGTGTCTTCGGAGTGACGCTCGCGGCAGATGCCACAATCCACATCTGAGATGTCACGGCCCTTACGAAAAGAGCGGAACACAACGGACCCGGTTTGCCCAGAAGCCGTCGAGACGGTCACCACCGCTGGCCGGGTGGATGACACATGGAATGGTATCTGGTTCTCCTGAACCATGGCGACAGTGACTTCCTCTCTTTGCTGCTGGGTAGTGGGCAGGCTTGTTGAGCTTCCAGATACGCGGCGCTCCACCCTTGTTGTCGGGACCCGGTCGCTCCGGGTATGACGGCGTTGTGACGAGTGTGAGGGAGCTGGACTTGGTATGGGTGCTTGCTCTGGCGAGAGGCCAAGACGCGTACACCACCGCTCGCTCAAGGAAGTCGCCTGGTCTTGATGTCGCCGCTTGCAGAGGAGGAGGCCGGCAATTTCCTGCAGCTTTGAAACGAGAGATTCATTGATAGGACCCATACTTAGGATTTCCAGTCTGTGAGAGGCCATTTCACGGGATTCTTTGGACACCTTGTTCCTACACGCACCCCCATTTTTGGCGACTCCAATGCAGGTGCGGTGCCGACTAGGGTCTATGATTTCGCAGATTGTTGATGGATCCCAGCGTTGACGAGGCGCTTCGACGGGTTGAGGCATTGAGGCTGTATAACAGGATTGAAGAGAAGCAATGCTAAACAAAGATATAGTAGTAGGATGGAAGCGGCCCTTTTTATAATTGAATTCTGCACGCGGCATCTTCTAGTGAAGCTTGTGATAAACCGCGGCCGCATTGTGGATGATATCGAGTATTCTGGAACCCCACGAAGATGACTAGGACTAAAAACATTGCCTCCCCAGTCCATCATTCGCCCTTCTGCGTTTTGAGATTCTTGACCAACGCACCAGCAGAGACCTAACATTCCATCCAGCAAAGACCTGACTAAATCAGTACTTGATCTGCTCCAACGATAGCCCTCAGCAGCCGTAGAATAAGGATGGACCTTGCAAGATGTATAGAAGGAACATGACACTTTGGCTCTTACTTCAGCTCTCACCCTGGCCCTTGTTTAGTGGCCGCTTACTATGGATTTTGATTCCAGTTTCCAAAGGAGTACAAACCAGTCTCTTTCGACTCATAGAATCGGGTCAGCCGAATGCCGCTATGCTAGTCTGAGGAGCTATTTATCAGCTAACTGATACAAAAAAGAACTATTCTAGAATCGTGTCCCATCAGACACGCGCTCCTTGACTTCACGTAAAATTCTTTCAATTGGTCCATCGTGCCCGGTGTAGATGTGGTCGTGAGCAAGCTTTCCGGTGCCACCTCGCCTTGGGCATCGGCTGGTTGTTGGAAATCCACGACATCGGCCAATCCTAACTTGAGAATGTTCTCTGCACGCTCTAGGGTCATCAGAAGATGACACCACCATAAGACCAACAAACTCCTTTACATGGCCCTCGGTCTCCATGTGAGGAAGGAGCAGCATATTAAACATAAGTGGACCAATCTGCTTCGTACTGTATTGGCAAGACACTCAGGGACATTATTACGTTCCATTATGGGTACGACGATGGTCCTCTACCTTTACTTATAGCCGCTATCCTCTTTATTGACCATCCCTGGACACTCCTCTCATGTCTCTCATACAAACCTCAATTGGCTCCTCAATATAGATAAATGTGTCGGCCCTCAGAATCAACATCCTAGCTTTGGCGTTCGCAGAGCCCCGAAATCGCCGTACTGTAATTCAACAACCGCCTTCACTGCCTCTGGTCACGAATGTACTAGAGAAATCACAATGTTTCCCTTGGAATAATAATGGCAATGCCGATTGCCCATATTTATTACTGTATACCGGTTTTTCTTGTGGAGAATTTACCTGCTTCCGAGATATACCCGGCATTTCGGCGAAAAGTCGTTTTAGACGGGGATTGAAGCGCAAACGGTGTAGCTAAGGCAGGATCCAGTTGGCTTCGAGAACGGCTCTTGGGAATATAGATGTTGATTCGTGGTTATATAAAGGGGTAAAATAAACCAAAACAACCCTTGCTTGAAACTCCGCCGACTGATATTTGGTACAAGAAAGCAAGCGTAAATGCCACCAAACATTGTCAAAATATGAAAACACCTATGGAACCCTTAATAGAATTTTGTATTTGGCGGGAGCCCCTCAGCCTGGTCATCTCTCTGTATTCGTTAGTTAGCACACCAAATGATTCTAATCTAGACAGCAACGGAACCCATACCAGAGCTTCCATAAAGCCCTTCACAAGCTTAATTTCGTGGTCGCAGTAGGCCATCTGTTCAGGTTCAACGTCGGTGAAGGTTGTTGCAACATCAAAGTCAATCCAGACTAGCCTGTCGGGGTTTCCACGGACAAGGAGAAGATTTTTGGGGTAGATATCTTGATGGTGAACACCCGCCCTGTGTATCTCATGCATACCCTCAATTGCCTGGGAATAGAGTGCGTCCGAGTAGTTCACGCAGTTTAAACTCTCTGCATTTGGAAAATATTCTAGCAATATTGCTCTCGGCCTTAGCTTATCCCGGGTGAAAGCTTGTAAAGCAGGCTGGAATACTGCGGGATCTATTCGATCGATGTAGCCGTAGAATTTGGGTACGAAACCGCGTATACAGACACCAGAAGTAAGAAGCTTCCTATAAGCATTTAACTCGCAGCGAAATCTGTTTAAATCACGACCATTTTCGGTATATCCAGGGTCGCCGTTGTCGTGGAAAAGCTTCAATGCATACTTTTGTCCATCCAGATCTACCTCGAATATTGCAGACGAATCAGAGCACGTAATCTGCCTGACAATATTAATATTGGAGGCGTCCATGTTCTTCAAAAGGAGGCTTCTTAGGTGCATTGTTGTCCTGTGGGAAGATCTATTTCTATCAAGGAGGTCGGAGCAGGTCAGAGAACAAAAAGTGGACAGGTCTTGGTTAATAATAGCCGGATTACATAAGCTAAATAATTCTGAATAATTTGCTAGTTATGGATCGCGAGAGGCCCAACCGCTGGATCTTACGAATCAGACCCACTACATTGCCGCCGGTGGGGATCTCAAAGTGGGTCTGTTTTCGCTGGCTGCATGTAAGCGCCCAAGACAGTTGAGGATGCTCGCATCCGCACCACCTCCGGCGGAATCATTACCATAGCCTCACTGTTGGCTATTCTATGGTTTGTGTGGGGAGAATGGGTGGACTACAGGCGGGTGGTCACCCGCTGTGACTCTGAATGAGAACACGGGCGCTTCAGGTCCTATCGATCATAGTCCTGGTCCAACGTTCCAATAAGCACTTTCTTTTAATCTGCTTTTACTAAGATATGCACCTCAGGTAAGCGCTTACTGTTGTGCAATCACACCAATCAGCCTACGTGCTAACCCCTCACCATTGCTTCCCCATCAGATAGAAGTGTAAAATTAGAGATTCGTTCCCTATATATCCAGTTACTTTTCCCCCAAGCCTTACATTTTGTTTCTCTATTCCCATTCCTCTGCCTATTTTGACTATCAGCTGCCAATAGGTATTAACCACGTGAAGCCATTTCTTCTAGTCCTATTCACCAGGTGTGATACACCACTACAATATGAGCAACCAGTCTCTTCTGCAGTATCTCTCTGTTGCCCTCCCGGCTATTCCTATTCAAGGTGCTGCCCCATCGCGAAATACAACAAACCCCCGCTATAGTGCGAGAGACATCACCCAGGTCGTCGATTGGCCAGAGTTCAATTATGCTACAATCATTCAACGATACGGCGGCATTTTGAACTCAAAGCAGATCGTTTCCGATCCTTTTAGGTCGCCTCCTGCCGCTATCAGAGATGAACCTCATTTCCACCTTCGATTTGCCGAGCTGCTTCAACCACGTGTTAGGCGCGCACTTCGAGCCGGGTTCGAGGAACTAGCACCCCAGCTCCAGCAACTGAACCTTGTGCCGATCACATTTGACGGCGGAGGCTCTGCAGCATACGTCGACCAGTTTCGACCAGACACTGCATTCGTCGTCATGGGGGGGACCTACGCCGACAGCACGAACCGAGCCCCAGGAGACATGAAGGTCTCGTGGAAATGGCGTTCTGACTACCGGTATTCGCAGAACGCCTTCTTTCACGAACAGTACAAGCAGGCCCTGGCGCAGGTGAATTTCTATATGCGCCAACACAAAGCGCGCCATGGATTTGTGCTTACTAACACCGAGCTTGTTGGGGTCAAACGTCTCGATACAAACGGCCATTTAGCTGTCTCTTCGGCGATCCCCTGGACGGCTGGGGGCCATGGCCAGCTTACTGTGCTAATGGGAATGTGGTATCTAGGGATGCTTGCAGCCGAAGAAACCAACTGGACCCTGTAACCCAGCTGCCTGTTTCTCGTCTCCTAGACCATAGTCAATATCAATTTGGAGGTTTCACCTAACCTCCCTTAGTGTCTGCTTTTTGGTGTTATTCGCGAAACAAACGTTTATATATATATATATATATATGAAGTAGTGCGTGGGTGAGCGACCCCAATTACCGGGGGTAGGGGCATAGGAGGGACTATATGTCATTGCCTCGGGATAATAATTGGCGCTGATCAACCTAACGTTAATGCCATGTACATATCAGCTCTGCGCACCCAATCAATACGTCACATTTTGCGGAAGCTAACAGAACAAGTAAAATGATCAGCAACGACATGGGTCTACGCCACAGCACCGCCTATCATACTTGGATTATAAAATCTCTCTCGAGATGCCAGAGACCTAATAGATGCAGATAGAAAGGCAAAAGCACTGGTATATTAACAGATGGCCAAACCTATTATCTATGGCATCTATTAGTCCAATTTGCATAGAAGATCCTAAAGAATATTATATATTATTTACAAACAGTGTATATATTTCTAGTAAACAGTATTAAAAATATAATATATAGTACATTAAGATTATATACAATCTAAATATATATCTACTAGTGTATCTGTAAGCGCTCTTTCGGCGTACTGATTAGATTGACGATAGGCCTGCGGAGCGCGGTCGGCCAACGGGCTTCAGGAAGGTAGTATTAGGAGGATTAAGACTGTTCGGAATTGTATGGCAGGTTCTATATACATCACAACAGAACGAATCGCTTGAGGACTGAAATCCTCTGCGCGATTCTGGTATAAAAGATATTTGTGCGTTACGTAAGCTGGCGGCCCGCTGGCGGCGGGTTGAGGTTGCCTGAGGCAACCGCCGTTATAGTATCTTAGCACATATCCTAAAATATAAGAGTGTTTTAAGGGGCAGGCTTATTCTGCAGATCACTATAGATAAAGGGTATTGATAGTAGATGTTGATATTATCAAAAATAATAGATCGTAAACTCAATGTGCCCAAAAATTAATCAGTCTAATTCTCTTCGAAACCGTAATCCACCGTAGTTAAAAGAAATATAGAAGTGGTGATTAGTGTCTCGCCGCTTTACACCTTATACCACGATCAGAATTTCTGCACTATACAGCCCAATCAGTAGATAGAATTCTAACAAGGAAGGGCCCACGTTATCAGGAATTCTAGGGTTCGCCGGTTATATTATATTTATTAAAAATCAGCCTGGTAGAGACTGGTGGCGATACGATTGGGATTTATACTAGATTATAATAGAATTGCTCATCCCAACAAACCCTAGCTATTATTATACTGCTACCTTCCAATAAGATATATCTGGCAGTTCACTTAAGACAATCAAAATACACAACTAACGACCGATCAATTCCAGGGACTACTCGGTGTACATGATTAGACTTACCATAAGTCCTTTCCAAGTATAGAGAAGGCAACATCGGCGAGATATTTTTACCATTGATCTTTAGAGTCCGGTCGAGCTCGCGGAGGCAGCACTTGTCAGGTTAAATAGTCTAAAGAGAAACACCTTCAACCAGCTGAACATGACTATAGCCGCCTAGTAGGACTCCCTCGATATATTCTTCCAGGTCATACGGTAAAGACTAAGAAGGCTGCATTAAGACCCCCAGTAAAAGCAGAGAATCGAACTACAGACACAATCCATAACTAACTCGGCGGTTTCACAACTACAGGTTAAGAATAGGCAGACAGAAGCTAAGCGGTCCTTTCTAAAAGACAGTTATATCTAAAGAATAGAGACCGGAGCAGGCTGGTCCAGTACACATAACAGGATACCAGGGGGTCCGAGAGACAGCGTTGTGAGGGAAGTAAATGAAAGTGAAATAAGATGATTGTCGAGCAACGCACCAGCGGCCTTAGCAGACAAAGCAAAGGCGGACATGGGCGGCAGATCCCCGCACGGTATAGCGCGGGACGCTAAACCCGAGTGGGTGAGCGCCAAATAGTATAAGGCAGCCACTGGACGGGCGCTAAACCGGAACGAGAGAGTTGCTAGAAACGGCTGTAAATACGAATTGTACTAGCTATCTATTTTCTCTTGATATATTGTAGCTGTCTTGTCCATCGACTCCGCAGTGCAGTGTGTTTCCGATGTGTAAAGAATCTTTCCATAGCTTTCCAAGTATATCTTTTTTCCTTCAAGATCAAAATAAGTTCGTCCTCAGCTTCTGAGAAGCGCCTCCCTGTCTTGCAGTAATCAAATTCTTCACTCTCTGCAAAAACCGGCTCTGACCCACCAAGTGCTTCGTCGAATTCTGGGCTTCTGGATATATCTGTGTGTTTGTCTCTTCTTGTCTGTACTGGGTAAGGTAAGAAACCTCTAATCACAAATGAGTTACCTAGGCTTCCGGGCGAGAGCTCTAGATATCCGTTGATTGCAATTCGCTCGGAATAGTGTTGCTCAGCTGGATCAGACGTCTCTTCTAATGAAGTAGTATCGGAGTCCTGGGTAAAAGAGTGTTTCAAATGTTGCTGATGCTCTTGATGTAAAGGTTGATAGGCTAAGGGTACCGATCTGACAAAGCCTGCCTTCGGAAGACGTTGTCTTTGCACAGATTTAGAAGATGTAGAGGGTCTTATTTTAGTTCTAGGGCGTTTTGGCTGAGAATCTGACCCTGCGCTAGTTTGTCTTTTTCGCTGAAGGCGGCTTTGTGGCCCAACCTCTTCGTCGCTAGTACTTGATTGGTGCTGGAAATCGATATCATCGGGATCATCGTTATCTTCACTGGAAAGAATCGTCTCTGCATTCAAAGTGGGAGATATACATCTCTGTGGTACTACAACCTCCACACGTGGTACCTTATATCCACTAGTTCTTATATGAGGCTGTGTCTGGTTGTTCCGGTTGAGTGATATGTGTTTTGAATGGCGACCATAATGGCTCCTAGCTTGCTTCTCTCCGGGTGAATGTTGATCCTCTGGGGTGCAGGGCAGAGCAGTAGACTTGGTAAGTGTCGCGTCTACCTCTATAGAGGACCGATGATCTCTCGTTTGGCCTGAGGCATATGTCAGCTTGTTAGGCCGCGTCTATAGAGGCTGAAAGGCTGTATGATAATATATAGCTTACCATCTTGGTGGTTATTCACGATATATTCCTGTAAAGAGGATCTGTCTGATCCGCTATGCGACAGCATACAATGAGGATGTATACTAGGTAGATCCTCAGTCTTACTTAGCCTGCGCAATTGTGACTTCACACTGCAGGGGCTATCGCCTTCCTCTACACCCTTGCCCAGATTAGGGCTTGGTATAGAGGACACGTGATTTGCAGACAGGTGCTCCGGGGCAGGGGGGAGACTGAACAGCTGGTGGCTAGTAGATACCTGCAGATTTGGGCATTGGTAGGACTCGGGTTTCTCTCTGCAAAGGCTATTGTCTAAAGCCCTTGTTATCGAGGGGGTTGTTTCCACATTCGCAGATGGTGGATTATATACGGCTTCGGCGATACCGGAGTTGGAAGCTCCTTCCAGGGATGAGGCTAGACTCTCACCAGGAAATGAGACTAGTGGTTTCTTTGGAAGGGGGTGATTCAGAGATTGTATCCCGGGTAGTGATAACAATGCAGGTTCAGGAGCTGGCTGTTCTGTCTTGCTTGTTTCTTGGGCTAATGGTAACGTAGCTTTGCTGTGGGGTGGATGGGGTTTGGAAGACTTGGGGGACTTGGGGGACTTGGGGGCACTGGGGGGCTTATAGAACCGAATATTATTCATTCTCAGAAGTATAGTAGGCCACTAAGATGTTGCTTTCAGGTCACGTATTGAATGTAGACTGGCCGCTGGTATAGGGGTAGTTGGGAAGATTGGGTATTATGATAGTTTGATAGACGGAGTAGACTGCAATATCAGTAGATGGATTTTGTTCATATTAACCACAACCATATTTATATTATAATCTATGAGGATATAATCTGCGGGCTATATATAGTATTAAAGATTAGCTGTTCTTCGTTACATAGCATTTGCCCCAAGTCGATAAGGCAAGTATGCTGCATACCAGACTTATTATATATAAAAAGAATATACATACTATATACATACTAGCACATTCCACCGCAGAGTCCAGACTTAACAAAATTTTTGCCACCCAGCTCTGAGTGGAGTTAAACTAATTATAGCTATTTCAATAATAAAAGCGGCAATACGATAAAGCAGCAAGAGCATACTTCCTAAAGCAGTAATTGTCTTTACTATAATTGGCAATAAGCCCCACATTTGGAACCACGGTAACTAGATGGGGCAGGACCCATACCTGAACGGGAAGGAGCAACTGCAAAAGCGGCCATATTACACCGGATGAGATTTTATACTAATGAATTACTAGTAAATTACTATTTACCATATTAAAAATAAGTTTTGACCGTTATACTAGTAAAAAAATAACGCCTTTTCTAAAAATTATAATATTTACTTCAAAAGATTATCTATAGAAAGATATAAAACTTTATCAAGGAGATTATAATATTAACGAGAGAAATAAAGATAATATAATAGTTATACTTTATTTCCATCCAATATATTATTCTATGGATATTTTCAAAATCTAATATAATTTATATACACGTGATTATTATCTTACAGTAGATAGATAATTCCTTTATATTATTAAACCAACGATTCTATTTTAACTATAGCCTAGTCTAATAGAGGAACTGGTTACTATATATTACTTTTTTAATAAAGATTTAAGAAATCTATATAATCAAGTTACCAAGACGATCTACTTTACTTTATTTTTAGCTAAATTTAGTTTAACCTACGCGCTAAGGAATATTTAACTAAAGTAAAATAGCGTAAAATAGAAATATTTAATTTATTTTTAAATCGCTCTTTTAATTACGCTAAAGCTAATATTCTTATCCTTTATTTTAAAATTTATACTACGAGATTATTATTCGAAATCCCGCAAAATTAATAATTGAATTATAAGGCCTAAGCGCTTTAATAAAAGATATAGAATATATAACAACAGCTACCAGGAATTCCTATCTTTCTAATAAAATATTTAAAAGGTCGCTATTTACCTTTATATTCACTACGGTACGTACCATTACTATTTCTATTCTAATAAATTATTTATTTCGACTTTCTAATTGCACGTCTACCAAAAGAAAATTGGTTTC